AAAAAAAAAAAAAAAAAAAAAAAAAAAATGATTGGTCCCTTGAAACAAATTAAGAAAAAAATGAGAGATATATAAATGTTAACAATGAGATAATAGAAGTAGTAAGGATATTGATGCTGACGAGAGTGCGTTGGCATTTCTCGACATTCATGATTGGCTCCGGTCTTTAGTGTGATCGTTATTAAATTTATTTACTATTATTTACGTTATGTTGTGTGTTAGGCTTGTTTTATTTGGACTTTTAATTTAGTTGGGGTTTAAATATTTAGGACTTGTGTATTAAAACTGATGGAGAATGTTTGTTCTGTCACTTACGTATTTTTATGAAATTGAATCAGAAAATATCAAAATAAAAGAACAGTTTCTTCGTTCTTCATTCTCCCATTGTATGCTATCTGCAAATTTATCCAACACATCATTCTACAATTAAGAAATGTAAATAATATTTGCTTATAGGTCTAAATATTTATAGTCAATGTGAAAACTGAACATGTTTTTGTAAGAAGGCAAATCAACAATTCAAGTGCATAATAATAATAATAATATTGATGAATTTGGCATTGGTTCAAGTATTTTGACCAAGAACTTTGGTTGATAGTGTACATATGTACATCACAAGTTCCAGTGTCCTCTCAATAACCTGCCCACCTAATTATTTATGTTGACTACACATTTACTACATTCATAATATTATAGTTGATTTAACAATTAATAGATAGTCTAGCTTTATAAACTAAATAAAATATATATATGAACAACCCAAAATTAAAACGCGTTTAACAAAAAAAATATCAACATTAATTTCAAACTGAAATATTATACTCCACAAAACAACATAAACAAAACTATATGGTTTCATAATATAATTATTTCTTTTTTGGGAGATTTTACGGTCTTTTTACGAAACTATTATGTCGGAGTTTATAACCGTTAAATTAACTATCCACGACGGTTACATGATAATCTAACGGTTACAAATTCGGATGGAATGATTCTGTAACGAGATTGTAACATTTTTCATTCTTTTTATTACACGGGCCAACCCATATGACGGTTAAGTGGGCTTTATATGTATAGGTAGACTTAAGAATCCCCAACAAAAATGAGTAAAATATAAGTAGGTGTAGTGAAGTTATCAAACTAGTGTAGAGCAATAATGTGGGGAAAGTGACTGATATAAAGGCTATTTATTGAGCCAAGCAACTTTTTGAAAGTGTGTATACTTTATAGTGTGACCTTGTTTTACATAAATGTAAAGAAAAACACAGATGTTGAGAGGCTTTTTCTAAGCTATAAATTGAGATAACAACCAAACAACATCGCCCAAAACAACACACAATTTTTCCAGACTAACATAGAAATCATGAGGAGAGCAAAAGGTAAACCCGTGATTTTCTAAACTGTGCTATTATTTCAGGGCCTCGACTGTGCTAGTCGAAGCTTTATTTATATATAGAGGATTTTGATTTTCGACCGTTGGATCAGACATACTCACACTTTGATCCAACGATGAAAAACCAATTCTTGGAAATCAAGCAAAAAAAAAAAAAAAAAAAACATTTCTATTTCATTGGAGAATTTTTTTCTTAAAAGATACAAACACTCACCCATATCATGTGATAATTGGAGCAGAATGTGATTCTGGTAAAATAAGTATGGCTTCCTAATGTTGTAATTCTTATGTTAAAAAAAACCTATCTCTCATCACAAAATCCAACTCATCACATTATAAGAAGAGGGAAAAAAGAAGTATAAAAAAGGAATCCTTCCCCCATAATTCAGTTCCTGAAAATCGAAACCAGTCTTGGAGAGACGAGCAGAACAAACGCCAAAATCGAACCAAAGAACATCTTGATAACATATCCAAATAAATTGGTGTCGGCTTCTTCGGAGGTCGTGTTGGGTGTCGATAATGCCACTGCCGAGGGTAGCGCCTCAATCACGGCATCTGCCATGTCAGCAATAAACGATGGTGTACAATTAAGGGCCGGGACACGACCCCAGTTCACAATCCCGGACTCGAGAGCCAGCTCACGATACTCCATATCTATCTCCTCAAGAGTCTCTATGTGCTCGCTCACAAAACTGAAAAAAGTAATAAAAAAAAAAAAGGGATAAAGTTCAAGATCATATTATATATCACGGATAAGCTCTGCGTGTATGTATAAACTTACGAGTAAAAGTCAAAGAAAGTATTACCTCACTGGAACAGCAAGGAGAGATTTTACGCCTCGCTGGCCGAGCTCAACAAGAACTTCATCAGTGTATGGCTTCAACCATTGAACGGGCCCCACACGGCTCTGTGCGGATAAAGAGTTCAAATTTTAGTTTTATCGTTCTGTTCAATAGCGATAATGCAAAGGCATATTAGTTTCAAACATATAACCTGGTAAGCCAATGTGTGATCGTTATTAATTCCTCTAGACTTGAGTTCTTGCATTATCAAGAATATACAGTCTTCCATTTGGTTTTTATAGGGATCGCCTGCATCCTCAACGTAACTTACGGGAACTCCATGAGCGCTGAAGAAAATCATGGCCTGCAAATTTATCAAACAATAATAAAATTATCAAACTTTTGAGTAATAAAAATTGAACCTTGGGGAGTGTTTGCAAGGAAATAAATAGAAAAAAGGGGAGCAATTTTTCATCTCGTGAAGCTGGAAATCGACCTTTTTTTTTAAAAAAAAAAAATCATCCCAAGAAGAGAAACAACTGTTTCAAAAGGAAATGGAATATATAGTAGAAGCTAAAAGTTGAACAAGTCAAAACTTAAACCTGCTGTATTTATGTGAAAACTCAATTTGAAATCTAATCAGGACAATGAGCTCACCTCTTTTGGGTTCTGAAAATTTTGCAACTCGTTTTCAATCAAGTCAGCCATAGACTTGACGTAACCTTCCCGCTGATACCATGACTGTATGATAGCAACAGGTAACCTCGACAAGTATTTATCATCCCTGATAAGCAGTATCCCAGATTAGTTATCAGATTGAACAAGGATAACATGCTCAGCTGATAAAGATTTTAAATTTCCAATGAATAGTCACCTAAACATGTCTCGGAGAACCCGAATGCTTGACCCAGTTGTTGAAATAGAATATTGAGGATAAAGTGGCAACACTACAAGCTTTGTAATTTTGTCTCTCTTGATCTATCGCAAAAAAGAACCGACAAAAAAATAAGAATGAGCAGATTGTTCTTTGAATTCAATTTGTCCATGAGGCAATATGAAAAGAGAAATGATACAGGCAGATTAAATTAAGTGATTGTAGATTATTATGTTGATTTTACATTTGAAAAATATCAAGCATAAACACAGATAATTATTAATTTCTTCTTCACCTGATGGACTGCCTCCTCAGTGAACGGGTGCCAGTAACGCATGGCCACATACACATTAGCAGGAACTTCCTTAGCTTCTAGAGACGATTTTATAGCACTTGCCTAGAGAATAATAAATCAATGAATGTTTAAGCAAAATAAGAAGCTGCCATATAGAAAAAACTCTAAAAGTTGAAGTAAAAATAGAGCACTAGAAGTTCTTGCATGGCAAAATTAATTACCTGCTCGTCCGTAATTTTACGGAGAGGTGAACCACCCCCAATGGCAGCATAGCCTTCTTTACTCTTAGGTGCTCGTAAAACCGAAATTAACTGTGCTAAAGGTCGTTGAAGGAACCGAAACAACCTCGGAAGCCGAATAATATCCTGCAAATGTATAAATGAGATAACCACATTATATGTTTGATTAATCTCAGATCACAATGGTACCTAAGAGATTAAACCAGTTATCTTTAATTCCCTCAAAATTCATATTTTTATTACATATATGCATTCACACCCCACAAAAGTTATCAAGAGGAGGCTATTTACAAGATAAAAGCAAATGCGAATATATTATTTGCAACTTTATAAGATTCTATTGGAATGCATTAAACCTCAAGGCAGTGTCATGTAACCAATTCAAAATTATTTGCACTCATTCAAGATAATTCTATCAAATACTTCATCAACCTAATATAGTAACAAGTTATTGACAATTTGGCATAGAAAAACATACCGGATCAGCAAATAAATTGAACAGAAAAGGCTGAACATCGTGCAGAGTATCGGGCCCTCCAAGATTCAACAGAACAACTCCTATTTTATCTTCTGCTGTCTGGGGATGTGAGTCAGTAATTGCATCAGAGTAAGTGAAGGCCTCAGCGGAGCAAAATGTTCTACCAACAGAGTTGACTTTAGCCGTGCAGCTTAGAGATGGTGCCGCTATCTTGCCACTTGAATTAGAAGTTAATGAGATTTTCGACGATTTATAGGAAACTGAGGTCAACTTAGCCTCACTGTGAGACCTGAAAATGCATAAGTGGTGAAGCATTATTTCACTGGTTTTCTGTATAATATTCCCCCACAATGTTTACACATGATCATAAATCCTTTTCCTTTTCTTTCTTTTCTCATTTGTTCTTCTCTGTTCCCTTCTTCTCATCCACCATCAACAGAAAGTAAATTTTCAAGAGCCCTTAAAACAAAATCCCAAAGGGACTGTTCTGTCTTATATCATATTCGATCATACAATCAAAGGAAAGTAAATTTTCAAGAACCCTCTTGACAAAATTCCAGAAAGATTGTTTCGAATGATATTATATTCTATCATCCCATCCAAAAGAAAGCAAAATTTCAAGAGCCCTCTAACAAAATTCAAAGGAACCCCAAATTTTTAAAAAAACAATATGATCTAGCAATATATCCACACAGCTTGAGGAGATGATGACCCATTACAACCAACAGCGCAAAAGACGGTCGAACACATAATAACATGATCGAACATAAGGCCCGGCTCGATTCTGGATTAGTCGGTTCCCCTGTGGATCCGGAAACCGGAAGGTTCCCGTACAAAAAAAAAAAAGAAAAAAGAAAAAGAAAATCTTACAATATAGAATTTCGACCAAGATTCAGCTGGGAGTGAATCAGAGACCTCGTTGCCGCTGCCATCCTGTAGAGGTGAAAGTATGTCAAATTTCAATGATATAACGTTCAAAGAGGAACAACCGCTTGGTGTTCTGATCAAGCTAGGTGAAAAAGGTGGAGTCTTTTAGACGATTGTTTCTTGCTTTTTCCCTCTTTTTATGTATAATAAAGAAAACGAAAGTAAACAGCTTCAATGTTTTCAGGGTTTGGCGAGATTCTTCTAATGTTCATCAATGGTGGAATTAAAAGAATGTGTGCGTGTGGTCAAAGGGAGGACGCGTTCACCATTGCCAAGTTCGGCAATGGAGGTGTGAGCATTTACTTGCGAGTTAGGAATTGAATAGGACGAAACCAATTTGAAGTTTTTTGTACGGAATTTTTTTTGGCAAGGCTCGATTGAGGGTGTGTTTGTATGTGAAAAATCAAAAAAGTCCATTCATACTGCATCTATAGTCAAACTTTACTCAATTTTAATTAAACCAAGTATCTTCAATATTATAAATTTAATTAATACATAAATTAATTATTCTTACACATCACATCAACTTTATATTTAATATTTATCCACTCATGTAATTTTAACTAATCATCCTTCCACGCTATATATCTCATACTTTTACATCAAATCAATTTTAATTATTTTATTTTAGATATTATTTTAGTATAAAATCAAAATCCCAGCAACTTACCATCCTACTTTTTCACAATTAACTGCAGTTAATAAAAAAAACTCAATTTTAATGGATATATTTGTATACAAACACGCTATAAAAGTCTTGAGTTCTGCTTGTCAAACATATAATTTTTATATCAAATCAACTTTAATTATTTTATTTTAAATCTATATCTATATATATATATTAAAAGTCAACCTATTTACCAAAAACAGTAGCAAGAAAAGTCAACACACATTTAATGCATACTTTATTTAGAATTTTTTTACTATCTGCATTAAATGCTTTCATATTTATATTTACTATCCAAATATGATCTTAAAGATTTTTTCCTTAAATAATTTATGCAGTGATTTTACTGATATACATTATAATTAATATTTGTCGAGTAATATTTTTTAACCTTTATTTAATTATATAACACTAATATTTTTTAAAAAATTAATATTATTTATTATTTAAAAGATAATGATCACATCATTAAATAATTTTATTTCATCTTTCAGTTATGCGAGGCGGTATGCGGCATCATTAAATGATTTTATTGATGGATAGATAATAAAATTATATTAGTTATTCTTTAAAATTTCAACATGTTATTTATTTGTATATTATTGTCAACTATGATAGTGTTTTTATCACTTTTTTTTTGTTATGTTTCAAAAATAAACTTATTGTAAAATATTTTTCTATTGCACAGTATGTTAAATAAACTATAAAGCCTTAGGATGAAAATTAGAAAAAATCTCTTGATTATGTAAGGGATTTATTTTTTGGCAATTGCTAAATCATTTTTTTTAAAAAAAAAAGAATTATTATAAGAAAATTGAATTCTAAAAAACATGGTGTAAAAAAATTCTCTCGTTTGAGAGCGGAGCCGTATTCTCTCAATTGAGAGCTTTTGATCTTTGTTTTCCCTTCAGTTCTTATGTTTCTTGTTTTCTCTGAGTGGTTACTTGCTATCCTATTTTGAGCTTTTGTTTCAGATTTTTCTTTGTGGGTGTCTTTTTCGATTTTGTTGCGATTTGGGGCTTTTCCTAGGGTTTTCTTTTTCAATGTCGGGAGCTTCGAGTTCCAGTCATGATGAAGATCTCTCTCAACGAATGGAAAGCTTCTCTCTATCAGGAAGAGAGGCTTTGCTTGTGGATATAGCAAAGGACGATATCAAAGTTAGTGCCGATGAGTGCAATCGCAGTTTGTTCGAAAAAGTGATTGGCGATCGACCAGCCAACTGGATTGGGATCAAACGTTCAATGAGCCAGATCTGGAGGCTCTCTCAACCAATGGAGGTGAAGGAATTGGAACCGAATTACTTTCAATTTATCTTACAGAGTAAAGAAGATCAAAAGAGAGTCAGTTATGGTACTAATTGGAGCTTTGAGAATCAATATCTAATTCTTAGGGAATGGTGCTCTGGTCTGAATAGCAAACACCCAACTTTTCAGGAGCTCAAACTTTGGGTTCAAGTAAAAAATGTTCCTTTAAATTGGCTTTGTACAGAAGTTGGCATCAAAATTGGCACAGTTTTAAAGAAGTCGATAATGTTGTGATAGCAAACTATGGAAATCACGGAGGTAAATTTCTGAGACTCCTTGTTACTCTGGATTTAAATGAGCCCGTCCCCAGATGTACTAAAGTCCGACTTGGAGATGAAGTAGCCTCCATCAACTTTGTTTATGAAAGACTGCGAAACTTATGCCATTACTGCGGTCACATTGGACACTTGGAAAAAGGTTGCATCAAGAAGGTTGAAGATATAAAATCTCGTAGCCTCAAGGAAGGCCAATACGGAGACTGGCTCAAGGCTCCTGAATGGAATTTCTGGGCTACTGGTAATAATCATAACCCAGGCTCCAGGAGCCCATCGCACAGTCCCAGAAGTTCCCAACAACCTTCATCACCAGGTCACACATCTCATCAACACACAATGGACAGTCAGTCATCCCTCAAGAATCAACTCATTATTCATACTCCTGATTCCAATCCTAATCTTAAATCATCTGCTAATGATTCTTCGAGTAGCTCGCATACAGAACTTCAAAAGGTCACTGAGGTTTCCAGAGTCCTAGCTTTCAAGGAGGACTTAAGCAAAGCCATGGATATTGAAACCAGGGTCCTTCCTTTATCAATTATCAGTCCGCCAAAGAATGCTGACAAAGGTAAAGGCAAGCAGTCAACTTGGAAAAGGATGGGATCTAAGGAGGGCATGCTGCAGAGGCAAGCAGAACCCTATTCACAACCAGACACTTCTTCTTTTGGGAAGAGGATTAGAGAGGAGTCATCTAAAGAGTTTGAAACAGAGGTTGCTCTTGCTTCCAAGAGTTTGGAGAATAAGAAGACCAAAACTTCATCGGATCAGGTGGGGGTGGCCAGCCTCGAATGGCACCCAAGTTCCCAATGCTAGCTGCGGTGTGAAACTGTAGAGGGCTGAGTGGGCCCTCTACAGTTTCCCAAATCAGAGGGATTATTAGAGCCCATCACCCATCTTTTATTTTTCTTTCTAAAACTAAAAAAACGAGTGCTTTTGTTAAGTCAGTTAGTAGAAAGTTAGGCTTTGAAGATAGATTCTCTATAGTAGATCCTCAAGGCCTAAGTGGGGGTCTCTTGTTGCTGTGGGAGTCCTCTGTCACTGTTCTCCAAATCCAAGCTTCTGGTTTCTTTATTGCAGTCCGTTTTCAAATTTCTTCTTCAAAACCTCAATGGGGAGTGTTTGTATACCTCAGCACTAACAGAGCCATCAGAACTTCTCAATGGTCTGAGCTGGAGTTTGAGAGGAATAACTGGGGTAATATTTGGTTTGTTACTGGCGACTGGAACGATCTTTGTTCAAGTGCAGATAAGCTGGGTGGGAATCCAAGGCCTTATAGTAGTTTCTCGGGCTTTAACTCCTTCATCAGGAATATGGAAATGGAGGAAATAATGATGTTGGGGCATCACTACACCTGGTGTAATAACAAGGCTGCAGAAGGCTTAGTGGAGGAAAAATTGGATAGAGCCTTTGGCTCCATGGATTGGCATCAGTTATTTCCAAATGCCAAGGTTCTTAATAAGGTGGCAAGCTCTTCTGATCATTCTATTTTGTTGGTGGATGCTAGTCTTCCTAGGGACATGAAAGTTAAGAGATTCCACTTCGATAAGAGGTGGGTTGATAAAGATGGCTTTGTGGAAGTGGTAACTAAGGCCTGGTCTCTTCAGTTCATGGCACCCCATTTTACAGACTCAAAGAAAAGGTAAAGAACACCAGAGCTGCTCTGCTCCTATGGAGCTCAAAATTTCATTCTCAGAACCAGCTCTTAATTGCATCTCTCACTCAAAAACTTGAGGGATTGAGGGAGCAGCAAATTGCCTCAAATTGGGATGATTGGAACTCTACCAGAATAGAACTTGAAAAGGCTCACCGTAATGAGGAGCTTTACTGACAACAGAAGGCTAAAATGAACTGGCTCAAGCATGGTGATTGCAACACCAAATTTTTTCATGCTTACTCTCTTCAAAGAAGGCAGCAAAATGCTATATCCAGACTGATCTCATCGAGAGGAGAGGAGCTTTCTTCCAAACAGGCCATCCAATCCCATATTTCTGAATTTTACTCAACTCTTTTTTCAACAGAAGGCTCCTGGGGAGGAGATGCAGTCCTTCACTTAATCCCTCATTCAATATCTGAAGAGAAGAACACTGCTCTTTTGAAGCCAGTTGAAGAGGAGGAGATCAAATCGGCTCTGTTTAGTCTTTCTTCTGACAAGGCCCCTGGGGAGGATGGTATGAGTGCCTTCTTCTACCAACATCTTTGGTCTATTATTCAGGTTGATTTTATTGCTGCAGTTCTCAGTTTTTTCACCTCTGGTCAAATTTTACAATATTGGAATCACACTATTCTGTCTTTAATTCCAAAGAGTGCATCTCCAGAATCTCTTAGTCAATTTCGACCTATCAGCTTATGCTCAGTTGTGTATAAGGTCATCTCAAAAGTCCTTGCACAGAGACTCCATACATGTCTCAATGACTGCATCAGTGGACAACAATCGACTTTTATTAAAGGGAGGCAGTTGTTGGATAATGTCATAGTGGCCCAAGAAGCCTTCCACTTTCTGAATAGGCATTCTTCTGGTAAGAATTTTTTTATGGCCTTAAAACTTGATCTTATGAAGGCCTTTGATAGAGTTGAATGGATGAGCATTAAGAAGATTATGGTTCAGATGGGTTTCCACTTAGACTTTATCAAACTGATTATGGCTTGTATTACCACCACTTCTATTTCTTTCAAAATTAATGGTGAAGTAAGTGGTTATGTCTGTCCTTCAAGAGGAATCCGGCAAGGGGATCCTATATCCCCTTATTTGTTCATCATAA